AATCTTGTATTAACCCACCAGCCGCCCATTAAAAGACTCGTCTGATCCATCAGCTGTGTTCATTAACAAGTGATTTACTGGCGGTGACGTATGTTCGGCGCAGACGCCGCGTCTGTGCTTTGTTTTGTTCAATAGCTCATCCGGACTTCCTGCAGGTTGTGTAACTCATCTCCCGTCCGTCCATCCATCCGAGTTCTGTTCCCTCTCCTGCTCATCGTCTCACGCCACCGCAGCCTGGCTGCTGCCGAGTATTTTTAGCAGAACTAGATTGTAGCTTTTGCGGTCTTGATATCCCTCATCCTTCAGCCGAAGCCTCACGCCTGGAGATGAGCTATTTATAAATCAGGCCAGTGGTGTGATCATTCACTCAACCTGACATCATTCTGAGGGGGAAACAAACTCACTCACTCACTTTTTTTTTTTTTATTTCCTCCTTCTTATCGCCCTCTTTTCCTCACTTTCTGTTTTCATCCAGGGGACAGATGCATAAAGCTCTGTAGCTAAGCTTTCTATGTGCAGACATGTAGATTTACAAACCCTTATGTTTGCATTATTCTTTATTAAATATGTGAACATTCAGGTTTGACATCAAGCTTCGTCCTTCACCTGAAACCTGCAGCGTCTTTTAGCAGCACATTGGCAGAAGTGGTGATTCAGCTGTTCACGTTTCATGTTCACGTCATTGCACAGCTCATGAAGACTGCAGAGTTGGTCCTGTGAGGGTTAAAAATACTGTGCAATGACTCATCAAATTATATATATTATGTTTAGGTTTAATTACTTAGAACGGTGGACTTTGGTGGACATCAAGTGTCTGTATTTATTTAGCTTCCAGGCATTATTAAGCACCAAGTCAATTATATTTTTGTCCAGGTTATACTGTAATGCTAACTGTGACCAAATAAGATGCATGAAATGAAGGCAGCAGCATTTTTATTCCACACCATTATCATGTTGTTCTTGTTAGTAAGTTAGTAATTGCCATTAGGCAGTGCAACAGTTGCACAGCAGATCAGAATCCAGTCCTCCCAGCTACCAAAGTGCCGTGAAAATAAGTGAACAGCAGCAATGTTCTTACTCGTCAAAGTGACAAAAGTGAAAAGTAAAGAAGTTAAAACAGTTGAGTAAATAGCAACAGTTCATCCTTTGAACCTCCAAACCCAGCAGCAGGTTTGAAAGGCATGTTATCTTT